AAATAAATAAAAAAAAAATTTAAAAAAAAATAAATAGAAAAAAATAATAAAACTTAAAATGTCCACAACAACAAAGAAGTACTTTAGGCAGGGACAGGCTGTGGAAGACCTTAAATACCAGAATATAAGGTACATATAAGGAATATCCAACAACGACAAGCTCTGTGGTCTGGTCTTGTTTGGTCAATTTGATGCTGGACATTGAACCCAGAACCTTGCACACACTAAGCACATATGGTACCACTAAGCTACCCTGCAGGTCCAACAAGCTACCCTAGTTTTTAAGCAAAGCATTAAGGCATCATAGACATAGTACAGAGAAGGAACATGGAGGATGGGTTAGAGGACAATGAGCCCAGGGACAAGAAAACTAAAAGAAGGTTCTTGCTAATCCCAGTACAAAAGGATAGACAAGAATTATGTGAGGAAAGAGGAAGAGAGTGGTGAGAGAAATACTGAAATGTAGCACTGATGAGTCCTGTGGACTAAGTCAGCAAGCAGAAGCCGCAGCTAAAGGGGATATAGGTTTTTGCTTAACTAGGAAAACGGTATATAATTAGGTGGCAAACGTGTCCTATTTGGCTGAAGAAAGACTACTGGAATGAAGACTGTTCCACATTTTGTTTTCTAATAAAAGCTACCTTATTTTTTTAATATTGAAAGATTTGAATGAAAATGATTACTTCTGTCAAATTAGAAAAGGAAAAAGAAACAGAAGAGAAACTCCTTTCCAAAACCAACAATTGATTAGCCCAGACAGTGCCAGGAGTTACTACCACAGTTGCAATGTACAGTAATACTTTGACAAGTCTTGTCACTCAGTAGATCACCATGTACAATTATCACTGTAAACAATGTATTACCTTACTCCCTGTGAAACTTGATGAAAACATGACAATTTTCATCCCTACCAAAGAAATTGTTAGGTTTCTTACTTGATCTTACCAAGTTTAGGGCTTTGTGATAATTGCTATTAATGAAAACATTTCTTTTTAGAAGTATCAGTGTCTCCAGGTATTTAATATACTCAGCACAAGCAATGTAAACATTAAAAAATTATTAGAAAACAAACCTTTAAGAGTTCCATGCAAAAAGTACTTTAAAATATTTTCTTAGCATCAAAATGGAAAAGCTACCTGTTCCTAAAGTCATTAGTATCAGCGCTAATCCTACCCCTCCCAGACAAGAGGCCTGACAGCACCAACACCATGAGGGGGATCATCTGTGCATTGTAGAGAAGCACCCTTAGAGCCAAATTAGAGTCTAAGCACAACTGGTCAGTTTTACAGAAAGTAACAGATAAAGATGAAGAAAGCCATGCAATAGATGTACGGCCTGACATACCTGGCATCAAGGAATCTTGATCTTAAAATCATAACAGCTTCACAAGTGCTTTGTTTGAGCTGCATCTGAATGGAACTAAATTTTCGATGGATGATGCCCACCATTCTTTCAATCTCTTTTGGGGAAATGGGACGTGTTCTACTCTGTTCTCGGAGAAGGTTCATCACATGTGTAGTGAATTCGTTACATGCCTGTAACAGAAAAAAAAAAAAAAATCACTTCTTAGGAAACTGATATTTTATACTATCATACTTAGACATTACATTAACTCATCTGAATTTCTACCTCATTTGCAATTGTCAATGGCATTATAAAGCAGGTAAAATGAAAAAAGATACGTATGATATACTGGTCGTACAGTTAGGTGGGGCAGCAAGAACTACGGAACTACGAATGGTCAAACATGAAAGGTAGACATAACAGTCAGCAACTGTCCTTCCACCCTCTCTTATTCCAGCTCCAAATAAGTTTGTCCCATTGGAAGATGCTTGATTCTATCTCCTAGATATAGGTGAATATTAAATGTTAGTACTAAGTGCTCTCTGTTTTCTCTGGGGATTTGAATTTAGTCAACAAATGTTTACTACAGGATTACAAAATTCAAACTCTTTCAAGAACTGTAAGAGAGACACAGGCATGAGCAAGATGTAAAATTGGCCTTTGGTGAGATAAAACATATAAAAAAAAATCATATAAGACAGGCAGTGCAGTCTTAACAGGAAGATAGTGGAAGTCCTTCACAAGTTCCAAGAAGGGAGTATTTTTAGCTGGAGGCTCAAAATAGAAGTGATATTTGGGCTTTAAAGAATGGGTAGGATTTTTGAAAGGTAGACAAAGATAGAAGCCAGAAGAAATTCTAGGCACAAGAAAAACTGTAGAAATAATGGTACCAAAAACAAGCTCAGACAATGGAATAGAAAGAATATATAGAGAAAAACAGGGAATTCAGAGTTTTTCTGGTTTAGTGTTGGAGTTTGAACCTGGAACCTCACACAGGCTAAGCCTAAATCCTACCACTGAGCTCTTCTGGCTCTAGCCAAGGATTCAGGTTTGAATTAGCACCTATCATAGGCCCTTATATGTCAAATATTCCCACTGACCTAGAGTAATTTAGCTATTCTGCATGCAAGAGTGGATAAAAGCCATTCCTGTAAAACAGTTCAGCTCTTCAGAGGAGCAGCAGCAGAAAACTAAGAATCAGACATAGCTTTCAAACATTTTAACTAAAAATCTTCAGACACTGTCTCTTTCACTTCACTTATGTTCTTTTAGATCTAAAAAGATGCACAGCTGAGCCTACACTAAAATTCACTACTTCCTTGGTAAATAAAGCATCAGTCTATATTCCTGAATAAAAAGAACATCTGGTGTTTTCATTAAAAAGACAGGATGGGGCCAGGGAGATGGCTGAGGAGTAGAGTAGAATAAGCGTAAGGGCTTGAGTTCAATCCCCAATTCAAAAAAAAAAAAAAAAAAAGAAAGAAAGAAAGAAAGAAAATTTTTAAAAGGGGCCAGGGAGATGACTCAGTAGAATAAGCATTTCTCTGGCAAGCACAAGGGCCTAAATTCAATCCCCAGTTCCACACACACACACAAAAAGGACAGGATGGGAGCTTTTGCATTTTACTTTACAGATACCCTTGGTAGGACAAGCAAAGAGGATGATCATTGATCAACGCAAGACATTTTGGAGCTATAACGATGGCCACTTTCCTATAGACAACCTGAACATTGCTCATATATATAGCACATGATAGTTATTCTAACTGCTCATTAGAGAAACTAACATTTCAAGTACACTGAGTATTTCACTTACTTTAAGCTTTCATACAAATACTTTTTTTTAATTTTCCATTTTTTAATTTTTTTCTCATAATTTTGAGACAAATAGTAATGAGACAGTTTCAAATCAAATTGGTATGACAGTTTCAATAATTAACACATTGCTCATACAAATATTTCTAAGATGAAGTAAAATGAGTCTTGCTTACCAGTTAAATTTTTTAAGTACTTTTTATTTTAAAAAATTGCAAATTCCTTGTGATTAGCAACCCTATTTTATATTTATGGGACTCTTCAGAGGAAAGAATAGTGTGATATACTTAGTAGGCACCTGATAAACATCTACAAATCGGTGGAGTTTTATATACTACAATTCAAAAAAGGGTAGAGTTGGCTTATTGGTAAATTTATTACCCTTGAACCACTCTGTGAAGGGTTCCCACTCTGCAATCCATGGATAGGTATAGGATGTCTGTGAGTCTGCATGTGTACTTGTGAGGGATGAGTCTGAGTTTTTAGTTTTCTTCTCAGACTATCAGCCTTACAGTTAAGAAAGGTTAGAAACTATTTTCTTAGGTTATAATAGAAGTATTAAGGAATTTGATACACTGAAACCAGAAGTCCTTCTGTAAGGAAACAAAATTTTTTTTTTTTTTTTTTTTGGAACCAAGGATTGAACTCAGGCTCTTGCACTTGCCAGGGAAGTGCTTATTCCACTGAGCCATATCCCCGGCCCTCAAAAATCTTAAAAAGTAAATGTAAGATTTCTATCACTGGGCTGGTGAGATAGCTCAGCGGTCTAAAGCGCCTGCTTAGGCAAGCTTTGGCAGTGTGCACAGGGACCATAGTTTGATCCCCTGCCCCACACACCACACCAGCTCCACCCCTGGGGTGGGCTGTGTTGGCCACCAAAAAAAAAAAAAAGATTTCTACCACTACATCATCAATTTGGATTTTTTGTTGTTGTTCCGAATGCCTTCAGGGCAGGTTTGGCTGGCTTGAGTTGAATGAACCACAGCAACCTGAGCCTGACTGCTTTGATGAAGCAGCCACTTAAAGAACTGAGCTAAGGGGCAGGCCCCCTGGCTTTTGTTTTGTTTTGTTTTGTTTTGGAACTGGGGATTGAATTCAGGCCCTTGCACTTGCCAGGCAAGCGCTTGTTCTACTGAGCCATCTCCCTGGCCCTCAATTTGGTTTATGAGGGCCACGCTGAAAAGAAGTGATCACTTTTTCAAAATATATACGTAGTTTTGTCTTAAACTTGCCCTAAAGACATGCTTATGCAATTACATAGTATAATCAAAGAACACAGTGAATGTTTAAGTAAAAATGAAATTTATTACATTAAAAAACAAACTGTCAATAACCCCCACTTAATACAGGCACACATACTCCCTGACTCTTACTTCAAACACACTGATTTCATTTTTCCTGCCACTTCCTTAAGTAGCTTTAGAAGTCTTTCATGAATCTTTTTATATTTTTTTTATTTTTTAAATAATTTTCATGAGTTTCTTTTCATGGCTGCCTCAATGTCTTGAATTGATTCATTTTCTGTGGTATGTATTACGTATACAAATAAAAATAAAAATACTATGATGCCCCATCAACCTTACCCATAGAACCTAACACTATATGTACAACTTCTGGTTCTTCCCCAAAGCCAAAATGACTATGAAAGGTAAATATTTTGAATAAATTCAGGATCTCAAGAGAGCCATGAAACAAAGAGGACTTTCCAGAATGGCTTCAGAAAGTGAAAAGGATGATGGGACAAGTGTGTTTAAAGCAAAGGGAAGTGGTTGAAGGAGATCGATGGCAATGCTTTTTACTGTAATAAATTTTTCAATATTCACCCTATTTTTATAGTGCCTTATAAATTCTAAACTAAGTAATTTGACAACCTTAGATTTCATAATCAGTAAAACAAAGAAAATTGAAATGGAACTGTTTCTCCAAAACAGGATTAGCAACTGCTGCAATTACATACCCAGGGCAATAGAATGTTAACAGATAGGACACAAACATGCATACATTTGGGAACTGCTAGTTTAAGTAAATTTTGTTTTTGATCTTTCTTTTTAGAACTTCTCATTTTATGCCACTATGCATAATAAATATTAAAGGAGAAATAGTGCATCTAACTTTACCTAAATATGGTACAAAAACTCTCTTCTTAACTAGTTGTGAGTACATACACTTCAGAAGCGGAGACAGGATAATTCCAACTTCAATCCCAGCCTGGAAAATTTAGTGCCATAGCAAGAGCTTATCTCAAAATAAAATTTAAAAGTAATTTTAAATACTAGAGATACAAAGGGACAGGGAGGTAGCTTAGTAAATAAGTGCTTGCCTGGCAAGTGCAAGGTCCTAAGTTCAATCCCCGGTACTTAAAAAAAAAAAAAAAAAAAAGTCTAGAGATACAGCTCAGTATAAAGGCCTTGGGTTCAATTTGTAGCACAACAAAAACAAACAAAACCACATCCAAAACTCTTAGTTCTGGATCAGTGCTGCACAACAGAAATATATATGAATCACACATACAATTTTTATAATTCTCAAGGAGCCAACATTCTGAAATTCAGATGAAATTAATTTTAATAATATATTTTATTTAACCCAAATACATGAAAAACAAAAATTAGTGAGACACCTGCATTCGTTGGTGTACTGCTTGAAATCAAGTATATATTTTATAATTTACAACATGTCTCAATTGAGACGAGGCTGACTTCAAGTTCTCACTAACTATGTGTGGTTAGCAGCTTAATATACTGCAAAGCTCTGCAGCATCTTGTGGAAAATACACTAAATTTTTTGGGGGAAAACATTACACTAGGTAAATATATATCTATACTGCCACATATTCATATGACCATACTTTGTAATGTCCTTGGTGAAGCATTACAAATTATCTATCTTCTTACAGCCAGCCCTCGAGTATGTACTGTATTTAATACTATGTATGACAAAATGGGAAGCAGGGAAAAAGACCTTCCAGTGAATATCACAAAACGACTGCCTTGAGAAAAACCATTTTCATGGTTAAATTCTGAGCTGAAGTCATTTTTTTTTTCTCACAGAATGCGATTTCTACTTGAACACAAAATAGGTAAGTTATGATTCTTTAGTTGGGCATTTGGCAGATGTTTTGCTGAAAATGAACTAAGTGAGCTTATCATGTCAAGGAAAACAGCTGGCAAAATTTATATCAATGATAAAATTTGAATTTTCAAATTAAAATAAAAATTTTGGAAACCTGCATCATACTGTGAGCATGACAGTTTCCCCATAGATTTTTTTCATCAATTCAGTGTTGATAATAATAAATACGTTTTGATGCTGTATGATAAAATATGTTAGCATTTGGAAGAGACGCCTAATTTGGTGAACCAGCAGTTTCCAAATG